CCCGCCTGGACATGTTCCTGTGTGACCTAGATTAGGTGATCCTGCTCTGGACTGGATGATCTTTCAAGGTCTCTTCCGACTCCTAACATTCTGTGATTCTGTGAAATGCTGCAATAAAACAGTAGCCTTCTTTAGGCTAACAGAGCCAAATTAGTGGCAAGCTTGCTATCAATGCCATTGCTGCTTCTCTAAACTCAACAATCTTTCACAAAAGTGTCTTCTGACACACCCCTCCAAGTTTCAGCTGAAGGGTATCATGCTAACTTTCAGAAAAAACTAAATTAGAATACATATGCTATATTTACTAAACGGATCAACTTCAGAAATCTGTTAAAGAGACCTGGGTAAAAGTCACCTAACTGGGGAAAGAAACAAAAATTTAAATGGTATCATTAATGTTCGACTAGGCAAGAAATAACTGAGAAGTTTGAAAGTGCTTTTTACAATTCTATCATATGTACTAGTTTCACTGCACATGACAAAAAGCATCTGCTTGGCGCAGGAAAAGTTTAATGGAGGAGTTAAATAATCTCAAAGGGGGTTTATCTAAAATGCACACTATATATAACTCACAACACTAGATCTGCCTGGAGGGGAACATAAGTATATCCTTCTCCTCGTCTTGCTATTAAGTGCACATAATACATACTTCAGCACAAAACTTCAGGGAAGATCTATCAGCAAATGAATTTTGTTCTTCCCTTTCCCTTCCTCTGTCTCACTCCAAAAAGTGCTACTACACCCATTCCTCCTAAGACTATGAAAGGTATCTTTTCAGTACAAAAGTGCTATAGGGCCCAGCAGCACATAAAACTCAAACCAAAACCCCAAAACTCAAACTATTGATGGAAAAAAAGCCAGAAAGACCATTTAATTTTGGCAATCACATAACTTCAAAAAAGTCTTAATTTCTGATATAACTGAAAATAGAGGTACTTCAGGGCAAGAAGGAAAGAATGCTAGTGCAGCATATTTAGGAATTGTCAGCTTATCTAAAAAACCAAGATTGTTTTGTCTTTCTCCAAGCGCCAAAGTAAGTTATTGCTTGCCTTTATTCTATTGTCTTCTAGAGAAATTATCCGAGCACGCAACCAGGCATCTTCTTCAGCGTGTACTGCAACAAGTTGCCCAACACTCAGAGTCTGAGCTAGTGACACTGTACTATTCTGACTATAGTATGCTTTCATGTCATCTTCCATTTGTTCCTGGGTGGAAGAATAATCTTTGCCCACATACCTAGAGTATTTTACAAAAAAAACAAAACACCACAAGTGTTAGGAAGCAACTTCAAAAAGCTGAATAAAATCCTAAGAACATTTATATGCATATATAAATATAAATAAATTATGGATATATACATTTTCTATATACATCAGTATCCAAATTCTTTTCCATTAACAGGGTGATAGAAAAGTAAGTGACATTAAATATAGTACTTTGTTGACAACTAACTATGGTCCAGCCGTGTATAATCTAGCATGTTCAAAAATTTCCAATGGTAAATTTTTACTAAGAGCTCTTACTTGACTATTACAAACACGCAGAGCAACTTGACCACAAAGGTAAAGTAGTATCTTGCACCAAGTACAAAAGAGAACTAGCACATCATCTCTGAAGTTACTCAGTCATTAACAAACACCAGCGTAATCAGGTTTTCACTAAGGTTGATCAAAAACAAGGCATTTGAAATAACTTTATAAATAAGCTGTCAAATCATGTGCTGTTTACCCTTGGCCTTCAGAACAATCCTGATATTAGGCTGCTGACCTGATGGTTCATACTGAAGCAGTTTATTAAAGATCTATGGAACACAAGTATATAAACTTACTGAAAACTCCAAATGGGAAGTTCTGAATGCTTCATAAACAAGTCAGATTAGAAAAAACAAAAGGAAAACTTACTCCCAAATTTGTATTAGTAGCTACTGTTATAATTTGTACATAGAGTGAATAATACTGCTTCTTTCTACCACACAGTTTAGATTATCATCCTATAAAAATCTAGGTATATTCTGAAGGTCTCCTATAAGCTCAGGATTAGTGCGGATACTGTAGTATGACATACTATTCTAACTTTGTTATAAAGATTGTTAAATCTGATCATATTCCAGGGAACCTTAATTTTCCTAAAGGTCTGCTACCTCACCATCCATTTATATATTGCTTTTCAAAATTACAGCCCTTTTTGGTTTCTGTGTAAACACTCACCTACTACTTCATCATGGATATGGAGTGGGCTGACAGTCAAATATCTGCTACTTGGAAGCTTCTTTCCTAACTTCTGTTTCATAAAGATACTTATCAGAAAGTAGGAGAATCAGAATTTCCTGCCTCACTCACTATTTTCTGGTAATAGCAGAGTATCATACTGCAGAAGGTTCTGGCTGCTCAAAGTTAATGGAAAAATTCTTTTTTAGGTTATTTAGAAAAGAATCCTGGAAACCAACCTCAAAAAAATCCATCTTAGAAACTAGTCTACATGCAGGTGGCCAGACACTGCAAGTATGCATTCAGCACCATTCTTAGTCTCAACTGGGACCAATTCGCATGTCAAGTAAAGCTTGCTGCTTCATTGTGAAAGGAACAGAAGTGTATGCTTCTATAGTGTAACATGCTATAAAATTTTGTCTATTGAAAAACATAAAAGACAAGAAAAATAAGTATCTGAGCTGGAGCACAGAAACTCAAGGTAGCTGAGAATAAAAGGTGATATTTATTTCTTGTGAGAATTCAAATGTAGCACCTAGCATATAATTTCTGCCTTCAATCACACTGTTGTAGATGTACAGCAAATATCCAGGAGTGTTTCTATCACTTCACTTTTATTCTGACTACATCATAATTCTTACAGAATTGTACCACATCTCAGAACTTAAATAGCACCTAACCTTCCAGCTTTGTCTTAATTAGTACTGCGGTTGAAAGGTTCCACCCAAACAACTCTCAGCCACATACCAAGAAAGTAGAGATATTGTTCCACCCCCAAGACAGAGGAATCTTGATTTTACTGATCCTGCAAAAATCATCATCAAACAATAGCCACTACAAAGTTCTTGTGCAGCTCAGAGGAAAGTGACTGCTAGAGCATGCACAGGAAAGGTAAGTCCATGCACTGTTTACTTCCTATATGTCTACATGAACGTTCTCTTGTCATGGCAAAAAACCACTCCCTTCAGGGCTAGTTCATCTTGAAGATAAATGATCTCGTCCACGAAATACAAAGATAACCCTAAGTAGTAATTTCCGTATCTAGAGACAAGAAACAATTAATCACCACCATACACCTACATAGAGCTGAAAAATTCAGAAACTTTAATATTGTTCAAGAATCATAGTTTAAAATTAGGGAACTAAAAATACTAACATAAGGACCCTCAGCTCATCAGTGTCATATAGTAGCTTAATCCATGGGACTTGAAGCATTCCCCAAAATAATTAGTGGAAACATCCTTAAAATAACAGATTAGAAAGCCAAGATTTGTTACTCCACATATACAGCAAGTTATCAGTGCTGACAGAACTGAAAGGTATACAGTGACAAGAAAAGTTTTGCAGAGTTACATCCCACCTGCACAGCAAGCTGGAAGAGACAGGTCTTCTCACTACAAAGCATGTAATAGGCGTTGTGTCTAACTGTTTCAGTATCTCTATGTACAGATGATTGCATGTCTTAAATTGGCTGTCTTTCCTGGCACTATTCATCTTATTCATCTTTCATGTTTTAGACAAAATTCAAACAGGAATTCTCACAGGAACAACCTAAAACATAAAGCCTCTCTTTTCTTTGATGCAGTTCTTCCTCCTGTGATTTCTTTTTTTAAGCTTAAGCTCACTCACAAATTCCAGCTGTGTCTTCTTCACTAAAATGATTGACTCGTCCAGCCGGAGACAGCACAAATGTTAATGATTGATGAAGAATCTTGCTTTATATTACACTTTGTGGTAAGACCAGTATACAAAACAAATGTATAAGCAATGTACAAAAAAAGCTTTATCTGAGAATAAGCTCAACATAATGATGCTAGCAGCTGAAACAAAGATGGCAACATTCTCAAATGAGAATTTCTCTCATAACCCCCAAGTATGGGGGTTTTCACTAGATTATCAGCCATTGAGATTCCATTACTTCAGGGAACAAGCAGTGGACTGACACATAAAGAAAGTTCAAGGTTGAGTATTCCAATACATGACTGATAGCTAGAAAGAAAACAGGTATCTGAATTTCAGCCTTAAGGCTAGTGTTGGATATTGTCATCCAGGAAGGAATAACAGAGCACTAGTTTCACAGTGAAAGGATCTGTAAGTAAACTGCACACATACTTATTTTAATCCTAGTCAGGACCTCTAAGAATGACTGAAACTATCTAATGAAAGCTGAAACTGTAGAAACTCTTGGGGAACAAAACAAAGCTGTCAATACAGTACATTACTACACAATTACTCAATTCATCCTTTCAAGTGAAATAAAAAACTTCTTAAGATCAGACTGGAATTGAAATAATTTTCAAAATTAAATAACCTCTACAAAAAAGTGTTTGGGTTTTTTTGTTTTTATGTTTGTTTGTTTGTTTGTTTTTTAAGTTCTAAAGAACTGCTAGGATTTCTGTGTTTTATCCCAGCAATTAAATAAAGAAAGCTTATCATGGTATTTCTGAAACAGTACAATAACATAAACATAAGATAGCTACTACAATCCACTTAACGCTGTCCTCTAAGGCTGGGCTGATTAGCAACCAAACCAAGCAGCACTAGTAGTTTATTGTTGGAGGGAAATTCATCTGTCCCCAAAAGCAAAAACTGCAGTGTAATCTGCACACACTCAAGTCACACCTAGTTAGTAGTCAGTTATAGAAGTAAAAAATATTTTAGTAAGTATTGCAGCAATATCTGAGTATTACTAAGTGTTATAGTGGGTTTACTTTAAAAAGTTTTCCAACAGTAAGTGAAATCTGCTTTGATTCTCAGACAAGCGAATGACAGAACTGATCAGCTCGGCACAGAAAAAGTTTCAGAAAATTTCAATTTAAGCACACGAACAAAAGGATTCTTAAGTTTTGTTATCAAAATAAGTAAAGGTCTGCAACCTCCTGTTCTTTTGTTCTCTTATGGCAGACCTGCACAGTATGAATATGCTTTATAAATAAAGTAAAAAAGATAGATTCTGAAGTACAAACTTACCTAATTAGGACCTCATTAGTGTTCTTCACTTCTAACACCATGATGGACACAGATCCTTCCGATGGAATGATTAGAGAAGGGACAGTTATGTCCTCTGGATACTGGTCCTTGGATTCTTCATACTGTTGTTCAGCTGTGGACTTCACACCATGATGCCTCTGGACTTTCTCAGTGACATTCAGATTTTCATCAACACGTCTTTGGGGTTTAGCATAGAGGATGGCCTTTCTGGGGACTTCTGTTACATAGTCCACTATACATACATCTGAGAGCAACTCCAGATTATTTAGAATGTCTTCTGGAAATTTTACTTGGTAAGTGTCTTGGTACAATTTGGGAAGTGCATTAGCCCAAAGACCACTGGAATACTTCAGCAAGATGTTAACAACTTTCTGCTTGAAGTCACTACTAAGTGATGCAGGTGTGATCTCCATATTTGGTTTTAACAAAGGGTCTGCTTTTGCAGAAGTAACATTCTGAGATGCCTTTTCTTGCTCTGTATCACTTTTTGCTATTGGTGGTATTTTCTTAGCAGGATAAACCAGTGCATCCGTCTGGTCATCTTTGTGTACTTTCTCCACCTTGGAAAAAAAAAGTAGAGTCAATGATAAGTTGTATCTCTAAGTCTAGATCACTTTGACAATTACATCTTTATAACATGCAATTTATGCAAGTTTGCTAACAACACAAAACTGGGAGGTGTGGCTGACGCTCCAGAAGGCTGTGCTGCCATTCAGCAAAATCTGGACAGGCTGGACAGTTGGGCAGGGGAAAATTTAATGAAAGTCAACACGGGCAAGTGTAGGATCTTGCATGTGGGAAAGAACAACCCCATGTACCAGTATAGGTTGGGGACTGACCTGTTAGGGAGCAGCACAGGGGAAAGGGACCTGGAGGTGTTGGTGGACAGCAGGATGACCATGAGCCATCAATATGCCCTTGCGGCCAAGAAGGCCAATGGCATCCTGGGGTGTATCAGGAGGGGGATGGTTAGTAGGTCGAGAGAGGTTCTCTTTCCCCTCTACTCTGCCCTGCTGAGATCACATCTGGAATATTGTGTCCAGTTCTGGGCCCCTCAGTTCAAGAAGGACAGGGAATTGCTTGAAAGAGTCCAGTGCAGAGCCACAAAGATGATGGAGGGAGTGGAGCATCTCCCTTATGAGGAGCGGCTGAGGGAGCTGGGTCTCTTTAGCTTGGAGAAGAGGAGACTGAGGGGTGACCTCATTCATGTTTATAAATTTGTAAAGGGTGAGTGTCAGGAGGAAGGAGCCAGGCTCTTCTCAGTGACAAGGACAGTGCCCCTCAGGACAAGGGGCAATGGGTGCAAGCTGGAACATAGGAGGTTCAATCTGAACATAAGAAAAAACCTTTTTACTGTGAGGGTGCCAGAGCACTGAACAGGCTGCCCAGAGATATTGTGGAGTCTCCTCTGGAGACATTCAAAACCTGCCTGGACGCGTTCCTGTGTGACCTAGTCTGGGTGATCCTGTGGATGATCTTTCGAGATCCCTTCCAACTCCTAACATTCTGTGATTCTGTGGTTATACAGATTTTGAAGTGGACATCCACAGAGAACTAAGCCTGAGGCAGTTACTACAGAGTAGTATTTCTTATAATGCTTCCTCCTCTATTTTTAAGAATACCAAACACATCAGACTACATCAGTATAGTGCAAATATCTAAACTATGCAGTACAACTTGTACTTTCTTCAAATTAAGTGTAGCCTCAGTTATTTCCTAGAAAAACCAAAAAATGCTGACATACTCCATAAACTTAGATCACATTAACTCCCCTGATCTTCCACACAGATAAGCATATCATAAACAGAAGCTCTGTCTCAATTTACTGAGGGAAAGGGGATTCCACTGTACACTTCATAAATAAGAGAACACCCGTCAGGCAGCACTGTAAAAGCTATCTGCTTGTTACAGTTTAAGGGTTAACAGCCTGAAAGGGAAGGACAGGTGGTGTCTGTAGGACCCTGGGGAGTCAGAAATCAGTACTGTTCCTTCCTCTTTCAGGTCACAGTCTAAAAAAACCGAGGAGCTCGAGGTTTTGTGGGCTTTCCTGGCTTCCTGGGCTGCTTCC